CTTAGACACAGGAATGTCGTTTTTCAAGGGCTTAATTTGTGCCAGGGCTTCCCAGGGGTGAGCCCCGGCCAGCACCTCTGGGCCTGGCAGTTCATAGCCGCGGCACCTGTGGGCCTGGCAGTTCATAGCCCCGGCACCTCTGGGCCTGGCAGTTCAGAGCCCCAGCCACTGGTGCAGGAACACTTTGAATAGTGGGGGTGCTGAAAGTCGGTGCCCTTACCCCTGTCTGCCCCACCCCTCCCATGCCAGCAGCGGGGACCTGGGGAAGGGGGGCCAGCAGCTGGGACCCGGGCACCGGTGGGCTGGCAGTGGGGTGCCGGCGGGCCAGCAGACAGGGTGTGGGAAGCTGGCAGCGGAGCCCTGGCTAAAACCTGAGGGTGCTGCAGCACCCACGGCACCACTAGTTCCCGCGCCTATGGCCCCAGCACCTCTGGGCCCTGGCAGTTCAGAGCCCCAGCACCTCTGGGCGTTGCTGCATCAATTATTAATGTAAAAAAAAAATTCCACCCTGGGAGTTTCTGCCATAGGACTTGGAAAGAGGATGAGAATGTATTTACACCTCAGGTAAATAGACCCCTCAAGCTAAAGAGAGGGGGTGTGACCCCATCCATTGCACCAGAGGGGGCAGGAACTAAATGATTTGCATTTTAGCAGACATACAGCTCTGGCAGGGGAGAAATAGCCGGACCCTGCCCTGAAAACAGAGCCTGTCACCTGGCTCACAGCTCAAAATAGACTTTTGTTGCCTTCAGAAGAATCCATTTCACAGTTCATTGGATTCTGGAAGAGATCGATCCAGCCACTGTGTTTAAGTTGAACTGTTTGGTGACTCTGGGGGAAATTAACAAACTGTTGCCCCTTGACTCCTTAAAGGGAGAACAACCTTAACATTCCTCTGACTATTCCAGGACAGGGCTGGACTTTTCACAACACCCCTTCCTGGGAACCTTCGGGGCTGGGCAGAGCCGGAGCTCTGAAACCTGGCAAGGGGGGAGGATCTCGGACCCCAGGCTCCAGCCTCTGC